ACTCAAAACACTTCACCTTCATTGAGTAGGCATTTTAATATGACAATATTTTAAAGAAATCATTATTTCAAACCAAACTTACTAGAAATGTATGGGTGTGAATATATATTTGTCTGTTAGTTTGATTTTTGATGAAGAATCATTATTTCATATTTTTTCAGGTTGATATTTTTTCAGTTCATTGTTGGGTGTGAATATAAATGTCTGTTTGATATTTTTTTTCCCAATTTTTCAGTTCATGTTGGTGTGTTAAAATTTTCTGATATTTATTTATGATTGAAATTTGATAGTTTACTTGAAATCTTTTTTTACGAATAACTTTGCCTTTAAGAAGTGTCATATATTTATATAAATGGAGTGTGAGACAGCACCGTTAGATTTGAGAGAGTTATTGGTTGGTTCTTAGAGATCCAAATCTTCACTCAAGATCCTCTCTTATCCTCTATACTTTGCAATTTCTGTGTGTTTAGAAAAACAATTTAGCATTCTTAAATCTGTTTTTTTTAAAAATAACAGTATTAAAAAAAATTTAGAATTTTTTTGCATTTTTTTTAATATTAATAGTTTATTATTATTTATATAAGGGATGACAGTAAATCCAATAATCGTATTAATGTTTAGTCGTAAAAGTTTTTTTTATTGACTGAAGGTCCATTAAATGTTAAATAGTTAAATGTTTGAATCATTAGTTTCGAACTTAAAGTTTCGAAACATTAGATTTGACTCAGATTAATGTTTCAAAATAGATTAATTCAAATGGGATAAATGAGTCTAGCAATTTTAGACTAATGTTCTTCAGAAATAGACTTAATGTATTTTCCTTATATAAAATCTATTTCACTGTTATTGTTATTTTTTTATGTAAATCAAATCTTTTTTTTATTGTAAATATTCTTTTTTTTTTTTGGCTACTATAAGTATTGTAAGAGTATTAGGTTTGGGTATTTGTTGTTTTTAAAAATAAAAGTATTAAAAAAAAAATTTAAATTTTTTTTTTTTGCATTTTTATTATTTTATTTTTATATTAATAGTTTATTATTATTTTTATTTGTATATATCAAATCTTTTTTTATTGTAAGTGTTCCAAGAGTAGGCTTTGTATAGATCTTTATCTGTTTGTCACAAAGCACTTAGTATGATCTCTCCCCATTTTTATCATTTTTTATAAACAAAAGACAAAAATGAAATTGTGTTGAGCTCCTCATTTTACAATCCATATTGAATGATACAAATAGTTTATACTGTAAAATCTACCGAAAAGAGTATCCATATCAAAAATTAAGTTTATTGAACAATGAAATTCATATAATGGATTACATTTATATTATAAAACAACTAAATAAATTACCTATATTAAATTTATATTATCGTTCAATTTTCTAAAGATAAATTTGATCAAATTAATCAAAAATTTTATAGGAACTATTTTCTGGGTGACCCTACAAATGAATGGTTGTTTGAAGCACTAGGTGGGCCTCATAGTGGGCATGTTAATTAAGTAAACCAACCTCCTGGCCATGTTTGGAAAAATTGTGATTTTTTTTTTTATAAAAGGTATTGTTTGAGTAGTATAAAATGTGATTGTTATAATAGGTATCAAATGGCAAAATATCGTGTAAACTAAGAGAACTATTATATATAATTTATCTTTCAATTATTTATTATTATTTTTTTGGACCGGAAACTAATAGTTTTTTATTTAACTACTAGACAAATCATAATGAGTCTTCAAAGAGTAAGATGAATAAATCTGTTTAATAATTCTTTGGCTATTTAATTCTGTAATTTTTAGTTTTCTTTATGTACATCAAATCTGTTTCAATGTTACTATTTATTTTTCGTTATGAGTATTCTAAGTCTCTTGGGTTTTTACTTTTCTATTTTGTGTGCTTCTGTATATACTTATGCTTAAATAGTTTTGGAGTTTGTCCTGTTTGGTATGTTTCTATTTGGTATTTTTTTCACTTACTTTTTATTTTATTTTTGTTTCTCCTATTCAATTTTTTGGTTTGGCATAGGTGTGGAGATCTATCATGATCTAAGAGGATATGTTAATTAAGTAATAACCAACTTCTCTGCCCATGTTGTGTTTTTTTTTTTAAAGGTATTGTTTGAGTAGTGAAAATTGCAATTGTTAATTGACATATGGTGGGTAGGCTTACCAACCATAAAACCCATAATTCAGTTTTTAAAAACTTTTGGGCTTTTTGGGGCTTTTTCCCATAATTCAGGGTCATGAAGATATGTATTTTTGTATTTTTTTTTGTAATACTGTTAATTATACTTTCTGTAATACTAAATATTCCAACTAAATTAAACATTATTTTGCATTATATTTTTTTGGTGTAATAATGTAAATTTTTTTGCAGGTTGCTTTATGACTTTGTATTGTTCAAAATAAACAACTTCTCGGGTGATTCTTTATCTACACTTATCTACTTTGACTGTAAGTATTCTAGACTTATTGATGGATTATTGTAGAGTCCCCCCCTCCTCTCCCCCAAAATATAGAGTTGAGTATGCTTTATTTTTGCCCAAAGTTTCTCTCTCAAGTTTTTTATTTTATTTTATTTTATTTTAGTTATGATATATCAATTGTGATGAATCAATTCTACTTTATTTTCACAAAAACACACACACAAATTTAAGAATAAAGAAAAACTCAAATATGAAATCCAAATAAAAATAATAGAACAGACAATAGATATACAAGGAGGACACCAAAAGTGATTAAAATTAAATATATATATATATTTTTTTCATGATCTTTCTCATAACATTATTTGAATTGTTCTTAAAAAAAATTAGAAAACAAAACTTACAAATATACTTGAACAAAAATTACAATTATTTTAATATTATAATTTTTTTTTTTAGTTGCATAAATATGTGCAACGTCGTTACAAGGTAATTTACTTATAGGTTTGTATATATAACAAAAGTTACGTATTTCATTTTTTGTCAATTCCATCTTATTTTTTTGTAGTTTAATGTTGTCATATATGTATGTCCAAAATTGCATCAAAACAATTTGAAGAGATTGTTGAATGTAACGTTTGATTGTAAGTATTTTTATTTTTTTTTATATTTAATTCAATGTTTGAAAAAATTATATTCAATTTGTTTTTAAATTATATTTCAAGTTGCACATGCTTTGGCTCATCATTACCAGGTAGTCTCTTCCACTTGCAATTTTATTTAATTCTCCACAAAATGACATTAGTACTTAAAATAACATGCATTATAAAAATACTAACGGAATATTTAATCGAATGTTTGAAAAATTTATATTCAGTTTGTTTTTCAATTATATCTCAAGTTGCATACGCTTTGGCTCATCATTATCAGGTAATCTCTTTCACTTGTAATTTTATTTAATTCTCCACAAAATGAGATTAATACTTAAAATAGTATGCATTATAAAAATGTAAAAACAAACATATGAAAACACTTACATAAAGATATAAAGCTTTGTGAGTATACGAGTGACATTGCAGTTAACAATCTCATAATATATTATTACTGCCTTTTACATAATTACATATAAATAACTAGAAAATATGAAATTAGTGTCTAATGTATAACGTAGGCACATTTTAAAAATAACTAAATTTCATCTACGTAACATATATATTATTAAAAATAAATAGTTAAAAAAACTTACATAAAAATACAAAGCTTAGGATATATTATTATTGTCTTTTACATAATTTTATATAATGTATGTACATTTTAAAAATAGCCGAATTTCATCTACGTAAGTGTTAGTTTGCTAACAATCTCAAGAAAAATGAATCATGATTACCCTGACACATCAAATTTGAGACATGTACAACAACAAAATCGTGAACGACGTCGTTTATACCTACAACAGAGGAGGCAACGCTCAGCTTTGGAGTCAAATGCTCAAACTGAACAACCACAAAAAGAATTCGAACAGTTCCGCCTTCAAAACATGAGCACTGAACAACGCTTAGCAAGATTGGAGCAACGTCGTCTTGCTCAGCGTAGGCGAAAATTGTTCATTCGCGAACAAAGCACGAGTTCTAATGTACAACAAAGAGAAATTCAAAGGGAAAGTTTGCGTAATTATGCCAGACAAAGGAGGGCTGCTTTGACTACTGAACAGCGCGAACAACAACTAGCAAGGCGACGAATATCGACAAAGAAAGCAAATATCTGAAAATCTCAAACAAACTTCTCATCCATATCAAGCACATAATATGACAAATGCACAAACAAGTAGTAAGTATTCAAATTTTGTAAATGTTTTTTGTTTTTTTAAAAAAAAGCTTTTACACTTCCAAATTTTACATTAATATTCATTTAATTTATTATGTACAATTTTAACTATTAGGATGCATGTTAAACTTTTTCGATGCAATCCCAAGAAGAAATAGAACAGGATAGCGCAGGCCGAGAGCAACAGTTTTGCCAACCATTCACGAAGAAGGGGATTTAGTTGTGACTAATGTTTTTAGTCGTGAGAGTAGAATGACTCTACGCTCACGTATCGACTTATTCCGATATGCACCTACACATTCGACTTATGAGCATGGAAGCACAAGTGGCAACAGACAAGATGATCCTCACGAAGTTCAGATGGAAGGTAAAAAAAAATTATTCAGTTTAAGTACTTTTACAAAACAAACAACCTTTACAATAAATTTAAAAAAGATGGCCATGCAAATATGATGTGCAATACAATTACAATTAATATTGAACATGCAACTCAAACACTTTCAAATAAATACTATTCTGTTAATAATAAACCTATACATCATACATGTATTGTTATAGGAAATATCCCTCATGTCGACCACAATCAAGATGCTTTCAGTGATGAAGATATTCTAGATAATTGATCATTTATCCATAGGAGATATCACAATTGTGCAAGAAATTTTCATGAAAGTGAAAGGTTCCAAAGAATGCAGTTCCCTGCTCCAACTACATGTAGACATTGCAACGCAAGATTGTTCCACTGTGAAACGTCTACCATGTGTTGTAATAATGGAACCATTGTTTTGCCACCAGTAACAGCTCCAAATCAGATGATTGATATTTTCTCTGACCAAACAGTGGAGGGTTGTCATTTCAGACAAAATATTCGATCCTATAATCATGTTTTCTCATTCACTTCAATAGGTGTTCATGTTGATGAAAACTTAGCAACAAGAACTCGAGGTGTGTACACGTTTCGTGCACAAGGATCCATATATCATAAGATCAGGAGTCTCTTACCAAATTCTAGCGACAGACTGAGATATTTGCAACTGTATGTTTATGACATTGACCACGAGAATGAGAATCGAATGTCTAAAAATAGAGAATTACACTTAGATTTGCTTGACAAGATAAAGAATATTTTAAATGCTCATAATCCATTTGTACACACGTTTCGCCAGTTAGCTCAGCGTCCAGATATACATGAATGCAGACTTCAGATCAAAGAGCAACCACGTAATAGGCCCCAATACAACCTTCCGACTGCTCCTGAAGTTGCTGTAGTATTAGTAGGCGCCGAAGAAGCAGGAAATTTAAGACCAAGAGATATCATTGTCCAATCAACCAGTGGTCAACTCCTAAATATTCCTGATATTACCGGATATTATGATCCATTACAGTATCCTCTGTTGTTACCCTATGGTTCATATGGATGGGATGCAAATAGCAGAAGTAATGATGGCAAAAAAGTAACATGCTGTGATTTCTATTCGTATATGCTACAGGTACAACGTACACATAATATCAAAAAATTACTTCGTCGAAGTTATTTAATCTATAGTTATTTATAATTATTCAAATACTATCAATTCAGATTCGCCCTGGTGACCAATCTCTTTTCCTTCAAGGAGGTCGCCTCTTATAACAGTATGTTGTAGATAATTACGTGAAAATTGAGTCCAACAAATTAAGATGGATACGTACTCATCAGAATCACATTCGAGCAGATTTTTATCAAGGTCTTCTAGATGCAGTACATGCTGGTGAAAATTATGGAGGTACAAATTGTCACTACAACTACATGTATTCACGTTCATTTATATTCATACATATAATTTTTTTTTTGTGAAATCCAAATTTGGAGCAGGTAATGTCGGTCGTAGAACAATATTACCGTCGTCATTTGTTGGTAGCCCACGAGACATGTATCAACGATATCAAGATGCAATGGCTCTGGTCCAAAAGTATGGAAAACCTGATCTTTTCCTTACAATGACTTGCAATCCAAATTGGCCTGAAATTAAAGCTGAGTTACTACTTGGACAGTCACCACATGATCGCCCTGATTTGCTGACAAGAGTATTTCATTCAAAATTTGATGAGATGAAGACCGACATTCTTACAAAACATGTACTCGGGAAGGTTCTAGCATATGCATATGTTATTGAGTATCAAAAAAGAGGCTTACCCCATGCCCACATGGTCATTATTTTGGATGAAAATGATAAGTTACGCACTCCTGACGATTATGATAACATTTTCATAGCTGAAATTCCAGACAAGAGATTAGAACCTAGATTATACAGTGCAGTTCTGAAACACATGATACACGGCCCATGTGGAATGTACAATGAACGATCACCATGTATGACAAATGGTCGGTGCAAAAGACGTTTCCCAAAGTCATTTTCTCCAATTACTACACTTGGAAACGATTCATACCATGTTTATCGAAGAAGAGAAGGGGAGTCAGTTCCATTAGAGAGTAATCCAAGCATCTTGGTGGATAATAGTTGGGTCATTCCATACAACCCATGGTTACTCTTGGAATATGATTGTCATATCAATCTTGAAATTTGCAGTAGTGTTACAAGTGTGAAGTATTTATACAAATATGTTTATAAAGGGCCTGACCGTGTTGCACTAGAAGTTCGTCAAGGTCCTAATTATGACGAAGTACAACAGTTCATAGATGGAAGATGGGTTTGTGCTCCAAAAGCATTATGCAAAGTATTCAAATTCCTAATGACCAAAATGACCTCTAGTGTAAAATGCCTCCAAATACACTTACCAAATAAGTAGCAAGTGTGGTTTTATACGTTCCAAGACATCACAAATGTTTTAGGAGATGAGTATTATTCCAGAACAATGCTTACCCAATTCTTTCAATTAAATGTTGATGACGAAACTGCAAATCGGTACTTATATCGAGAGATCCCTCAACACTATAGATGGTGCAATAGCACAAAGATTTGGCAGTTGAGATTGAATCGTCAAAGAGTAATTGGTAGAATTTACACAGTTTCGCCATCAGAAGGGGAGAGATTTTACCTAAGAATTTTACTCAGTCATATCAGAGGACCAAAATCATTCGACCATTTGTTAATGGTTAATGGAATTGCGTACCCAACTTTTAAACAAGCAGCTGAACATCATGGTTTGTTAGAGCATGATGATAGCATACGACAATGTTTGTTAGAAGCTGTAACCATGCACATGCCATCAACATTAAGGAGATTGTTCGTTACAATTTTGGTTTACTGTATGCCAACAGGGGTGCAAAGTTTGTGGGATGAAATTTATCCTTACTTGATTGAAGATTACATATCTTCAAACAGTATGAATAATATGTATATCCTTAACAAAACTCTGCAAGATATAAACCGTCTCCTGCTACAGCATAATAAGAACATATCAGAATACGATTTGCCTGAGATGACAATGAATTTGGATGATAATTCAACAATTCCAAAGGTCATACAAGATGAGCTTTCCATTGTAACTCTTCGAGAAGACTTAAATTCCATTCCACGTTAAATAATGATCAATGCTTAGCATTTAATTCAATCATGGAGGCTGTGGAATGCAATACTGGTGTAATCTTTTTGTGGATGGACCAGGAGGAACTGGAAAAACATATTTATATCGTGCACTGTTGGCCTCAGTGAGAAGTCAAGGTCGAATTGCTATTGCAACAGCAACTTCTGGAATTGCAGTTACACTTTTACCTGGTGGAAGGACAGCCCATTCAAGATTCAAGATCCCATTAAATCCAGAGGCTTCATCCATGTGCTCCATTACTAAACAATCAGATTTGGCAGAATTAATTAGACATGCAACAATCATCATTTGGGATGAAGCTACAATGACGAATCGTTATGCTTTTGGAGCTTTGAATCGAACACTCATAGACATCACTGGTGTTGATTATCCATTTGGTGCAAAATTATGGTGTTTGGTGGTGACTTTCGTCAAGTACTTCCAGTTGTTCCTAAAGGTACAAAAGCTGAAACTATTGCTGCATCGATAGTTAAATCATCTCTCTGGAGTCACATTCAAATACTTCGTTTAAGAGAAAATATGCGATCTATAAATGATCAACAGTTTGGTGAATTTCTTTTACGTGTTGGAGATGGTGTACAACCTACCATTGGAGATGAAATGATCAAAGTACCAACATCGATGGCAATACCATGGAACGACGAAGAATCAATAGTTCGACTATTACAAGAAATTTATCCTGATATCATAAACCATTCCTTTGATGCCGGGTATATGGTTAGTAGGGGCATAATAACTCTTCGCAATGAAGATGTCGACAAGCTCAATGAGAAAATCATTCAAAGATTTCTGGGAGTATCAAGAGTGTACCACTCATTTGATAAAGTTGAAAATGATACCCAAAATTTGTTTCAACAAGAGTTTTCAAATTCCATTTCACCCGGAGGAATGCCTCCACATGCATTGCATTTGAAAGTTGGAGCCCCAATTATGCTTTTGAGGAACCTTGACCCTTCTTCTGGTTTGTGCAATGGCACAAGGCTATTGTGTCGAGCTTTGAATAATAATTTCATAGATTCAGAGATTTTAACAGGACATTTCAAAGACACGAGAGTTTTCCTGCATCGCATTCCATTAAAGGCTCCGGAAAACTTAAAACTTTCATTTGAAATGACTCGCACACAATTTCCAGTTCGCCTTAGTTTTGCTTTGACAATAAATAAATCACAAGGTCAAACAATTCCACATGTGGGAATTTACCTTCCGGATCATGTATTTAGTCATGGACAACTATATGTTGCTTTATCTCGAGGGGTGTCAGATCAGACAACAAAAGTCTTGGTTAAAAAGGGTTCAGTTAATAATGAAGAAGGAGTGTGTACCCGCAATGTAGTCTACAAAGATGTTTTGTTACCAAATTATTGATACACGAGGTATGTACTAAATATGTTCTTATTTAGCTTATATTATGTCATTTTTTTAATCTACAATTAATGTACTTATAATATATCTTCATATAATTATTAATTGTAGGAATACTTGAAAAAATAAAACTACTTCAACTTTGGGAGATTTATCAAGAGGACGCAAATATGGTTGCATATAAGAAAGTTACAAATCAGGTATTGGCTTCACTTATGTTCAAAAAATTATGCTTGTAAAATTTTTGTTATTTAGTCTGGCAACATTCGCATATATTTTGAGTTTGAATATACCTTTTAAATTAATGTAGGTCAAACAGTTCTCCATATACAGTCTTGGATGACAGGTCTCTATTAAAGTTGATAAAAAACAATTGGGAAAATTAATCGTGCGAGAGCTTTTGAGGCAACGACAACATCGGTATGATAACGTGTTTGCGGGGCATTTTATATGAATCATTTCAATATGTTACATTGCTAATAGTTATCGTACTTTTTTTTAACAGAGAAATTCTATCATATCTGATAGAGCAAGTATATGCAGCAAACACAATATGGACATATATGTGGTAAAAATCAAGTCTTATGAAGTTTACTACTATGTTCCATATATTCATATTACAATTTAATCTTAGATTTCATAAATTTGTCAAACAATCAACTTACAAGGAAGTGATATATTTTGCCTCAGTTTTATAGGCAACGAATAATACAAAAATTGAAAGCTTACAAAGATATGTGCACCGTCGTTACAAGGTAATCTACTTATTGGTTTGCATGTATAACAAAAGTTACATATTTCATTTTTTTGGTCAATTCTATCTTATTTTTTATAGTTTAATGTTGTCATAGATCTATGGCAAAAATTGCATCAAGACAATTTGAAGAGATTGTTGAACGTGACGTGTGATTTGGACTATGTCAATATATGTAAAAATGTAAGTTTTTAATTATGTTTATAAAAAATTAACACAATAATTACCTTTTGTGTCTTTATATAAAATAAGTCAATTACAAAACCAAAGTAATTATTATACTCTATTGGCTAAAGTACGAATATGTATAATTATGCCTCACTTTAAGAACGTAAAATTTTAATTTAATCAATGTATATTACTAGCAAACTAATTTTTACATATATCTTATATTTTTTTTTTGTAAGATTTGCAGGATCTCCAGTCTCATGTTACCAAATTCAAATTTTATATGAATTTTTGTTGTACATATTTTTTAGTTAAGATTAGTAAATATTGTATTTTTTTAAAGATTTATACATCTTTTAATATATGTATATTTTATTTATTAAATACGTTAATATCAAATATTATATTGTATATAGTTACTCATTTTATTTATATGTACATTGTTATGTACATTGTCAGAAAAAATAATATGTAATTCATATTATAATTCAAAAAGAAATTATGCGTGTATCCGGCCGCAAGTATCTCAAAATACAAGCAGAGGCCATAAATAACAATCATCTTGCGGCTGCAACAAGTGAACGTGTAGCCTAAACCATATCAACGTTATGTTAAGCCTCGATGAACTTCATTCGCATTTCCCATCCAACATTCCAATCTCAAAAATCCAAGCGAAATACCACACAAGAAAAAGCTCGAGAAAATAAAAACGGACTTTCTCGCGATCCAAACACCACGTGCCTCCATCTCTGATTTCCAATTCTCCTCTCTCTCCTTCATATTCTTCCAGCTAGGGCAGGGTTACCACTCCCCCCCCCCGGCGGGAGCACGATAGCTCCAACCACCGCCCACACGAACCAATCTCTTTTCAATGTCGAGAAAATTCATTCATAGTTTCGTAGATCAGCCAAAGCACTGATTTTTATTGCTTATTCTTCTTCAAATTATTCAAATTTTCTGGCAATAATAAGATGATGGGTTCAGAGAACCAGGGTTTCGAAGAAGCCCATCTCTACGCATCGAGAGAAGAGATGGAGAGCCTCGTCCTCGACGATTCTCTGACCAGCAAATCCTACTCTAATTACAGAAGTGCCATGTCCACTCTCTCCGATTCTCGCCTCCACCACCCTCTCTCTCCGCCGATCATCGCCACCCCCGCCAACACCGATCCCCTCTTATCCCCCCCTCCTCCGCAGCTGTCCAATCTCGAAAACCCTAATTCCCCCACCAATTCCTACCTAGAGCCGTCGTCGTACGCCGCCGTCGTTTTCAACCCTCTCGACGTCGACCACCGCGGAGTGGAGATCAACGGCGATGACGAAAGCCCTAGCAAAGATTCACAGATATCTGTGTCATTTTCGAGATCGACGTTGTCGAGCTCGGAAGAGTATTTGAAGATCACGGTGTCGAATCCTCAGAAAGAGGCGGAGGCTGCGAATTCGATTGTTCCGGGAGGGAACACTTTCGTTACGTATTTGATCACGACGAAGACGAACATGCCGGAGTTCGGCGGATCGGATTTCTTCGTTCGGAGGCGATTTAAGGACGTTGTTACGTTATCGGATCGATTGAGTGAGGGTTACAGAGGGTTTTTCATTCCGCCGAGGCCCGACAAGAGTGTGGTGGAGAGTCAAGTAATGCAAAAGCAAGAATTTGTGGAACAGAGACGAGTGGCATTGGAGAAATATCTTCGGAGATTGGCTGCACATCCAGTGATCAAGAAAAGTGATGAGTTGAGGGTCTTTTTACAGGTTCAGGGGAAGCTTCCGTTGCCCACTAGCACCGATGTGGCATCAAGGATGCTCGATGGGGCTGTGAAGCTTCCAAAGCAATTGCTTGGGGATTCCGGGAGCGTAATTGGGCCGCAAGATGTTGTGCAGCCTGCAAAAGGGGGAAGAGATTTGTTGAGGATATTCAAGGAGTTGAAACAATCAGTGACTAATGATTGGGGAGGTTCGAGACCGCCTGTAGATGAGGAAGACAAGGAGTTTCTAGAAAAGAAAGAGAGGTTGAGTGATCTTGAGCAGCAAATTATCAATTCCTCTCAGCAGGTGATTTTTACTTTCACGTCATAGCTAAATATGAATATTTTGGGTCTATTTTGATTACTGGTGTGTTTGATTGTGATAAAATTGTTTCTTATCTTGTCCACATTTAGGCAGAATCACTTGTCAAAGCTCAGCAAGATATGGGTGAGACAATGGGAGAGTTAGGACTAGCATTTATTAAGTTGACAAAGTTTGAGAATGAGAATGCCATGTTGAACACGCAACGAATACGGGCTGCTGATATGAAAAATGTGGCCACTGCCACCGTCAAAGCAAGCAGACTGCATCGGGAGTTAAATGCACAAACTGTCAAGCATTTGGTAAACTGCCATACCCTTGTTGTGGAATGTAATTTGAACATTGAATTGGATTTGTCTTTTGTTGATAAATTTGTATATACAAGCAGTTCATGTGATGCAATTAAAAATTGCTCATTGGGATTAATTAAAGCTGATAGAATATATTTGAAACCGAAGTTTATATGAAACCCTTTTGCCGATCTCAATCATTCATCAACTTTCCAAATATCAATTTATACCACTTTATTATTTTTTTTTATAATATTTATTGTGGTACTTGTGCTATAAGAGGAAAGTTAACTATTAGAATAATCCCTACAAATTTATGTTGCAGGACACGCTACACGAATATTTGGGGCTAATGTTAGCTGTCAACGCTGCATTTTCGGATCGCTCAAGTGCTTTATTGACAGTACAAACTCTTTTATCAGAATTGTCTTCTTTACATTTGAAAGCTGAAAAACTTGAAACTGCATCATCCAAAATATTTGGTGGTGACAAGTCCAGATTTCGCAAGATGGAAGAGTTGAAAGAAACAATAAGAGTCACTGAGGATGCTAAAAGCTGTGCAATCAGAGAATATGAAAGGATCAAGGTATTGCTTTTTCATTTACAATTTGCGGACGTGTGAAACTGTGCGGCTTTTTATTGCTAGTTGTAGAATGTAACGATTTGCTTATAGGCTAAAAATATTGGAATACTGTGCATGGCATTGTGTGCTAAGAATCTTCACTTGCTATCGGCATATGCTGACTGTTTGCCTATTGTACTGCCACTAAATGGATAATTGGAAAGTTCTCAACTCAAATCATCAAAGCCTTAAATTTCCACCATGTCAAGTCAGCTATGCAAATCTCTCTGTTGATCGTTCATATCCAGGGTCACTTTGTTAGTTAATAATATGTAGGTGAATGTTCATGAATTTGGCTTTCTCTGTGTCCTTTTAGTCTCGTTGTTGTCAAATGAGCCAATTCACTTTGTGCATAGATATATATGTCCATTCTTTTTTAGAATGATCGAGTTCTTAGAGGTTTTTGTAGTCTTGTTCTTAGTTGTTGCTCTTGCTCATCTTTCCTAATTTTCACTCATCAATCATAATAACAGACTGATTTCATTGCTTGTCATTTTTTGGAAATGTTTATTGGTTATTTAATGTTTTATACCATAATGAATGATTGGCCTCATGACAATCTTAGAAGATCTTTCTTTGATTAGAAGTTTCAAAATTAAAACTACTCTGCTCAACTATGCTCCAATCTTGATATAAATACCTTTGATATTATCATTCTAATTCTCAACTTAAAAGGGATGTCAAATCTGTTCCGGTTAGTATGTGACCAAAAAAAAAATGAAATATATTTATATATATATAATTTTGAGAATTACAGGAGCAAGTGATAGACTGGAGATTAAGATGAGAGAAGTGGAGTGATAAAGATTTTAATTGGTTTCAGCTTGATGTGATCATGGGTGAAATTCATCTTTCTGGACATTAGGAGACAGATAAAAAAAGAGGGTTGAAATTTAATGCCTCTATTTTGATTTAAAAGGCATGGGACTTGATTCCAGAAGAGTCAGTTTAGTGGTTGTATATGCTGGTGATGGACAGGGAACCATCTTTACTAGATCATTGACTTCGTATCTTCTATAACCTTAGCTGACACATTTGTGGTTTTGGCAAAACTGTACCCACTGTACCCATTGTTCATCTGCTTGCTGCCATTAAGCTCAGCAATCCAGTTAGCACATTGTTGTTTCTTGTGAGTATGTACTGGAAACCAAATTGTTGGTAGTTGGTACTCATGATTGTGCTTTCAGTGTTGGACATATCCCAATCTGGAGCGGCTTAGTTCAATATCACAACCAACATTTTTTTTATACACTTCTAACGTGTTCTTGCGGGAGTGCTTTGTGAAGCCATGGTGCCTTGGATGAGTTTAGCGGCCTCATAGAAGGAAGGTGCTGAATAAGAGAAATACACGAGGGTCTCTCTCTCTCTCATCCTCATCATCATTATCATTTTAACATTTCATGGTTTTCGTTGCCAACCTACACACTACACTGAGGTAGAAACTGAAACCCGTGTCAACACGTATCACCACACCATTGCATATAGTTATGCAGTGTTGGACATATGTAGCTTATATATTGTGCTATTTTTTGATCTCTATAGCCTAAATCTAAATCATAAACTGTCATAAATGTATGCAAGTAAAATCAAAACTGTTCACTGAAACTAAACTTACCTATAAAATTGTCTGAAGAAAAGGAAGATTTTGAAAAAGTTTCCTTCAAACTATAACTAAAAAGTACAAGTTAAGACGAGTTTCGTAAAAAAAAAAAAGAGAAAAAATGGAAAAGTTCGAAAACACCCATAATTTTCATATGGTTTTCATTTTTCGTAACAATTTAAAAGTTATAAATTGGGGCATTTTAAGAAAATTTTCCAGAAAAATAGTTTTCTGGAAACAGTCGTCAAATAAAAAATCTCGTTAGTTTGTGTGTTTTTTTCTTCTTTTGAGAACAAAAAACAGAAAACAAAAATGATACCAACATGCCCTATAAGCTTTTATTGGAAGAATAAGATCTGGAAGCGTTTTTAGGTACCTGTCAAATATGCATGCTGTAACAATTCATAGTGGTTTGTATTGTTGTGAATGGATTTCACTCTGATCAATAGATGTATTCGTTAACAGGATTATGACCTTGGAGAGTGTTAGATGAAGGTGTTACGTAACTGTATCAGCTAATTTTTTAGACCATGCTAAAAACATGCATTTCTGTTTGACGTAATTTTTATGCTTTTTGTGGGCCACATTTATGAACTATTTTCACCATTTACTTGATGCAATTATATATTCCTGCAGGAAAATAACAGGACTGAAATTGAGAGGCTTGATAGAGAAAGGAAGGATGACTTTGTGAATATGTTGAAGGGATTTGTGATTAATCAGGTACTTTCTGGTGTAGGTTTTATGAGATGGTTTGAACTATCCATGGAACTTACTTGTCAGATAATCATATTATAGTCCTGTATGTAATAAATTATTATTCTTAACCTGGGTTTTACTTGGTTTGATTAGCATACTTTTGACAGACTTACAATAATAGAATTTAACCCAACTATTAGAGGTTCTGGAATCCATATTTTTTTGTTAATACTGTTTTTATTGAAGGCACATTAATCTCATGAGGGCATGTTTGGTATTGGACTCTTAGTCCTGGAGCTTCATTAGGAACTTGGAAGATATAGGGAGGACAAAGTAAGTGTTAATATATAGGAGTTGGTATTGTTGGTGGTATCATGAAATACTAAGGCCAAGTTTGGCAAGTTGAAAAAAAGTCAAAAAGTCAAAAAAATAGTCAAAAAGTTAAAAAGTTATCACTATTCACCAAAAGTAAAAAATTACGGCTGCACAACTTCCAATCCTAACTTTCCCCTTCACACTAATTTATACAATTTTTTAATACACATTTTTCCATAAAAAGTCAAAAAGTTAACCCAAACAATCATATTTTTTCCTCAATGTTTTAGTCAAAAAAGACAAAAAGTGCACTTATTTAGGACACGCCAAACAACCCCTAATTCCCCTATAGGAGTTAGGATGTAGAACTTTGTCCATGGACGGTTATGGTGTCTCTAAAAGAAGATCTTGATTGGTTTTCATACTAACTTTTTTCCTATTGCATTAATGGGTATGGGTTTTCTTGAAACACTGAGTTGTTTGGGTTTGTTCCCTTCAATAAATGGACACTAGCAACCACTTGTTAGAAAAATGTAAAGAAGACACCATCGTATGTCTTGAGTCAAAACTAGCTACTCTGAAATATGTCATGTTCACTTCTTATATACATGGTCAGCCACATGAGCATTTCCTTCCCCAGTCAGTCACATCCTTGTCAATGCAATATCTTAATTCTAAGTCCTGCATTATTGTCTTTGTAATGATTTACAAAATTTCATTTAAAATTTCTGTCATTTGCTATCAATATCCATCATTTTAAAGAAAAAAAAATGTGATGAGATATGATTGTGATATATCTATTTTCTTTTTCCATGTATTATTCTATGTTCCTGTCTGATGTTTTAAGTCTGTCTTGTGAGCAACAGGTGGCGTATACAGAGAAAATTGGAAATGAGTGGGCAAAGGTTGTGGAGGACACTAGTCGATATGCAAAAGAGAGTTCTTGAACTCTGCAAATGTAAAAATTCAGATTTTTAGGTTTTCCTTCCTCCTCTCCTTATATTTTATGGTTGGAACTATTAGGAAATAGCAACACATTCATCATAAAGATAAGAGAGCATTTGTTAGCCTTTCAAATTTCATTTCTCCCGGTTGTATGTAATAGAGGTTTTACATGCCCCTATACTGTAAGCTTGTTGTAACTTGTTTCTTTTTTTCTTTTTCTTTTTTCTCTTACCCCTCAAGTGGTTTCCGAAACTGGATTCCTGAATTTTGATATGGTAATGGGATAATAATGGGAGAAACAGGAACCACCATTGGGCACAATCACTTTAGCTGCTTAGTGTTACTGCTTGCAAGTACTAATGTTTAATTTTGATCTGAAACTTTGATTGTTTCATTTTCCCTTTGCTCTCATTCTATTCATATATGAACCAAATAAATCTTTACTGATGATATTGTATATGTCATGATTGAATATATTTACACAGTTTTAGATGAAATTAAAATCTTTATATATTGGATACAATCTTGCTGACCAGGTGAACTCTGTTTACTGTCAATTCATTTGGTTGGTTTGAATTTCCTTTTATTTATGTTTTTAAGAGGTTTTGATTTCCAAGTTTGCCATGGTTTGCAGAACTTGAGAGTTCTTTGGTGAGTTGACATTTTACCAGCATATTGCATCAATCATTTTATTTGAACCAGTGATCTATGGTCAACCCCCAAAAAATGTTTTCAGATGCAAGTATTAGTGATACTGATATATAATTGAAGTTCAGAAAAAATTGGAAAATATGCGACTTCTACTTATTATTTTATTCGAGTTTTGAATGGTTACAAGTACTAAGTGGGCATTTTTATTTTAGATATACTCATGCTTGCGTGATTGTACTCAGATTTTTTTTATTTTTTATTTTTTTGATTCATGTAATTGTCCTCAAAGGCACCCCTTTATAATCTATGATATATAAAGAGTGATGCACCAATAAATCTTAAATTGTGGACTTATGCACTGTTTGGTTCTGAAAGATTTCTCATAGACGGGGGGTCCTATTATACACAATATTACAAATAAGGGCTTTCGTAATGTGGTATGGGGTTACAAAGTTATGGCAACAATAGTATTTTATAGAGGGGGAAATTACGAAATTGGGTATAATTCATTTCCTTCCTGGTTGGCGTTGAAGTTGGGAAAATGAAAAGATTCAGGGGATGCGTTGAAGTTGGGGAAATGAAAAGATTCAGGGGATCAACGTTCACTCTGTGAACATCGGATTTTCCATAGTAGCAGTTTTTGTCAGATTTTTTGTAGTAGCAGTTTTAGTGTAACTTTTACACCCTCGAAAATGAAGGGTGGAAACCCTAGAACGTTAGTTCAGTCAATGATTTGGTAGCTGCTTATACGATTTGTGAAGTGTAAAGTGCGAATCAAATGGTGCTTGGTGAATGGCATTTGCAATACCCTGTTTTGGCACGAAAACATTGTGGCAAGGTGTGTAGTAGTAGGACATCGTAACATGATCAGAAATCTATCAGGTATATATTTTGTTATATTGTTTGATTTTCCAATGTTGTGCGCTATCGTGTTCCGGTTTGCGTATGATGATTGTTTTGTTTGTCTGTAATGGTTGGTCACGGTGGTGTATTGTTACTGTGATTTTGATAACGGGGTGATGTTTAATGTTGTTTGAGTTGGACAGAGTGCGTACATTGAATGGGTAGAAAGAGTAGTTGTCATCTTATGTGTGTGTAGGGATGGTAATTTGAAACTGGCCCGATGGGGACCCGACCCCCTAACCCCGAATTGTGCGGGTTTTTTTCAAAAAATACCCCCGACAGGATAGGGATGGTATTTAAAAATCAATCCCTGAGCAGATTCGGGTTGGGGACGGGAATAAGTGTCCCAGCCTCGTACCCGGCCCAGCCCTGTCCCCGTTCTGCGGCCCGGTTTGTCCCTGAAATGAAATTACTAGTTTACCCCTTTATATATATATACACACACATAGTAACCAAACCAAACCCTCATCTCATCATCTCCAGTTCTGTCTTTCATCACTCTCTCTCTCTCTCTCTCTCTTCACTCTACTCTTACTCTCACCATTGTCGCGACCCAGTCACGGTCACAACCACCCATCGCGATGACGCCAATCGTCCTCCTTCAGCCACAGCCTCCCTCCTCTCCCTCCGATCTCCATCGCTGCGCTGCCTCACGCCGATCTCCCTCCCTCCGATCTCACTGTCTCACATCGATCTCCATCATTGCCTCACGCCGATCTCTTTTCCTCCATCGGATTTGCCTCACGCCGGTCTCTCTGCCTCCCTCTGATCGCTGTCGGCCCTCTATTTCGTCGCTTCTGTCGCCTCCTCCATTCCGAGCTCAGATCTGATGAAGATATGTTAGATTTTTTATTTTTTATTTTTTACATTTGATGAATTATATATTTTTTACATTTGCTGAATTTTTTACATCTAATATATATTTGATGATTATATATACATTTGATGTGTTAGATCTGTTATTGGATGATGTTTATGTTGTTGTTTTTTAATTTTAGTCGAGGAATTATCGGGGTCGGGGAAACTCGATCCCCGTTGAGGGACGGGAGCGGGGGTGGTGATAGGCTCCCCATCGGGGATCGGGACCGGGGACGGGGAAATTTCTACCATCGGGGACGAAGAGTGTGATCCCCGGCCCCGCCCCGCCCCGTCCCGTTGCCATTTCTATGGATGTGGGAGTATATATGGATGGCAATGGGCCGGGGTGGGGCGGGGCAGGGGATCGCACTCCCCGTCCCTGATCCCCGATGGTAGAAATTTCCCTGTCCTCGGCCCCGATCCACGACGGGGAGCCTATCACCACCCCCGTCCCGCCCCCAACGGGGATCGGGTTTCTCCGATCCTGAAAATTCCCCGGCCAAAATATAAAATAAAAAAAAAGAAAAGAAAAAAAACAACAACACCAACACCAACACCACCACCATATATTCAACAAAAAAAACAAATCTGAGCAATGAGCATATATATATATTCATCATCAACATTCAACAACATCATCACCAAATAAAAAATAAATATTCAACAACAACATTATCAACATTCAACAACATATATCTTCACCAGATCTGAGGAGATCGACGGTGATAGAGAGGAGAGGACAGAACTCTGATGATGGCGAATAGTGACAGAACTCTGACGATTGGCGGTGATGGAGAGAAGATCGGCGATGATAAGAGGAGGGAGATCGACCGAAGACAGCAGAGGATAAGGGAGATCGGCCGAGACAATGGAGGAGGAGGAGGGGAGATCGACCGGAGGAGGAGGAGGAGGAGGGAGATCGGCTAGAGTGGGATGAGGGAGATCGGCCGGAGAAGGAGGGAGATCAGCCGACGCCGTGAGTAGCAGCAGTTGCATAGAGAGAGAGAGGGAGGTTGAGAGAATATGAATTTCAGTGAGTGAGATAAGAGAGGCACAAACTCAACTCAAACATATATATATGAGGGGAATATTCGGAGAAGATTCGGGGATTTTTCTGGAGATAATTCGGGCCGGGGTCAGGCCGGGGCCGGGGTTGGGAAACCAATCCCCGTCCCCAGCCCGAAACTGTCGGGGATTTAATTTTTAATACCGTCCCCGGCCCTATAGGGATAATTTTCGGGGAAAACCCGTTCTAATCGGGGTCGGGGGATCGGGTTCCCGTCGGGCCAGATTTAAATTGCCATCCCTAAGTATATGATCTGGTTGTTGATGTTTTCTCCAATTTTGATTACTGTATTGGTGTGGCTAATGTTATGTTAATGTTTAGTGTTGGGAGTGCGGGTTATGTTAATGTTGAGTGCTGGGGGTGTGGGTAATGTTACACCCGTAGGCGTTACTATACCAACACACAAAACGAATCAGCCACGAAATAGGGAAACAATATCACCCCAGGGGTATTAATGTAACCTAACAACCAACTTATAAACCTTACCAAAAAAAATAGGACTAATTGGTGAATAAAAAAAAAAAATAGGACTAAATGCTACAACTTTCTCTAACATATGATTTATAGATAAATTATCTATATATAAACCATAGGTGGTGTTTGATAATGATGTCAATTATCTATTTTCTATTTACAAAAGAATAGGAAACGTGTTTTTCATTTGTAAAACAATATTTACAAAATTTGTTTGGTATATAAAAATATCTTGAAAATAAAAATATAAAAAATGCTTATGGAGTTGTTAAAGGTGGTGAAGGGCGGACACATAGGTGGTGGTCGGAGGTAAGAGAAAGAAAAAATTTGAAATAAATTTAAACTACTGTAAAAGTAAAAATAATATACTGGTTTTCATTTTCAGTTTTAAAAAATATAAAAATAAAAAAAACTAAGAATTTGAGGAGGATATGTAATATCTAAGGATAAGTGAGATATAATATGTTAAAGGATATGAGATAAATTATATATACTGTGGGGTTACTTATATTATGTTTGGTTAACATATGATACATAATGGGGTAAAAAAAGGGTAATTATTTTTAACATTTGGATGAAAGATGAGTTATATTTGATGGTGGGAGATATACAACACCATGGGGGTTGGTATTGCATATCTCTCTTTTTGCATCATATACTACTAGCATATCACTCATACTATGCACGGATTATATTTACAATTATCTATATATGTGAATTGTGATTTTTAATTTTTTTTAAATGTCTTCTTTTTTTTCTTATATTAAAGTTTAATATTTTGATAATAATCATATGTGTTCGACTTTTCAAAGAATTAAATGTCTTTTTTTTATATTATATTACATTAAAGTTTAATATTTTGATAATAATCATATGTGTTGAACTTTTTAAGAAATTTTTTTTATACTTGTTCTTAATGCATTAAAGTGTTATTATGAAGGATAATAATCATGTGTTGGGACTTTTCAAAGAATTCATATGTATTGGATTTCAAATAATTTTTTTTATACTTGTTTTTAATGCATTAAAGTGTTATTATGAGGGTAAGACTTGGGAGTTGGGAGAAGTTAATAAATGCAAAGATTTTTCTTTTTTTTTTTAAATCAAAAAATCAGGAAATTTAGATTGAGAGATTAAATCTCCCACAAAACTTGGGGTTAAAAACCTTCTTTTACTTAATATATAGTATAGATTCAGACTCCTCATATGCAGAACAACCAAACACAAGATATAGGAAAACAAAAGAATATATAAGATTCGCCTCATATTATATTTGATCCCACAAACATACCTAGGGATGGCCACGAGGCGAGTTTGTTAATCCCGTCCTCCGCGGAGAAACCCCACCCTCGCCCCTACCTTACTTCCGTTATGGGTGAAAATTTTCAACCTTATCTCTATCCTCGCGCACACCCTACCACATTTTAAATAGCAAAAATAAATAAATAAATAAGAACCATTTAAATCCTTGGCACACTAAATAATTTTTGTTATTTTCATATATATAAACAGTGAGACTTTTAA